GCCATCTCACTTCCCTTGCTTCATCAATGGAAAACCCACCCACTATGGGCTGCTGTTCCCTCACTCTCCTCACACTGAACGGTCTGGTAACAGCCAAGGCCCCTCACCCATGTGGCTTCAAAAGTGCTGTTTGCTAGTAACTACAACATTTACTGGACAGCTTTTTCCTTCCACCCTTTGAACCAAGATAAGAATGGCTTCCCACTCCTGCCGATTTCTGGCCAGAACTCCTAGGATCATGCCCACAGGTCTGCAGTAGCCCTTTCTTGAACTTTCTTCATTTAAACCCTGGGAAGGAGTCTCCATCCTGCCAAAACCCCAGTGCAACGCTGTCTAGATGAATGGAGAACAGCTTCTCTCCTGGAGAAAGCAGAGGAGCTAAAGGACAAGACCCACACATATCTGAGACATGTATTTCGGGGTGGGGTGGTCACAAATTCCCTACAGAACCTTCTGTTTGGGCAAATCTCATGTATCTAATGCCCCAAAAATGCAAGCCAGATTGATATTCAACCATTTAAGTTCCTATTCCTCATCTGAAACAAAGAAATCTCACCCACCATCCAAAACCAAAACACCACAGCAGAAAACACAGCCCCCTTCAGACATATGACACAGTCTTGCTTATTTGATTTCATTACTTTGCAGCTCGAATAAAAAGCAAATTGATTTTCAGAATCTTCTCTTCCAGAATTTAACTTGCTCAGAGGAGTCCATCATTCTTTCAAAACCCAGAGCCAAGTAACAAAACAGGGCGGGGGGGGGGGGGGGGGGAAGCACCATTCTATGCAAATGTTTCCAGGTTGTCTATTTCACTCGAAAAGCCTGCTATCAATTCCACGACTGCCTGAGGTGATGCTTCGTTTTTTCGGTCTGGATATTTGTCTACTTAGGTGGATGCTGCAGTTTTCATTATGTTATTAAACTTCCATCAGAATAGTTGCTGAACCTGCCACATGTTGATAAACTAGACAATTTCCAAGGCTAAATGAAAATGCATTTGACTCTCCACATTTCCCTTTGTGTCTATGACCAAGGAGATGAAAATCCTCCCCCCCCCCCCCCCCCCCCCGCAACCATTGCCACCACCATGCCCTCCAGTGTCATGTTGGGTTTACTAACATGAGGCTGATGCAGGAGATGCAGAGGGAGACTCAGGTCTATCTTCCTCCATACACTGGACCCAGAGCTCCTGATCTAAAAGTGGCTTCTCCTACACACGCCTGACAACCGCTCTGCTTCGGCAGTCTCTGCTCCCCGCACCACACCCGCACTGCATGCCAAGGAGAGTAACACTTTCCATTGTAGACAGCCCCTGGTTGCCTTAACAACCTCCATCTGTTTCCTTAATCCCGTCTCCACCTCTGGAAATAACAGTCTGCTCCATTTTCTCCAGAATGTTCCAGTGTGTGCCCTACGTGCTCTGCTAGGTCCCTGACTGATGAGTGCTTAACTTGGGAGAAGGGTGCAAATGTACTAGTCAAAAGGAAATGACATTTGTTAAAAGCATAGAAAGACCATGCAAGACAGAAAGCTAAGGACTCCGAACAGCTAAGTCTCAAGTGACATCCAAGACTGAACAGAGAAGAGGGGCATTAGTGGGCAATCTAGGGCAATCTGAGCTGCCTGCAGCTTACTTCTATTATACATACGTCAGCTTATTAGTTTTGAAAATGCATTGTGTTACTCGAGACATTAGGGGAAGTTAGAGAAAGAAAATTTGGGAACCCTGCACTACCTTTCCAGCTTCTCTGTAAATATCAAGTTATTCCAAAATGAAGTCTTTTTCGTTAAAAGTGTATGTGTGTGTCTGTGTGTATGTCTGTGTGTGTGTCTATGTCTGTGTCTGTGTGTGTCTATGTGTGTACGTGTATGTGTCTGTGTGTCTGTGTATATGTCTCTGTGTGTCTGTGTGTGTGTCTATGTCTGTGTCCGTGTGTGTCTGTGTGTGTCTGTGTGTCTGTGTATGTGTCTATGTCTGTGTGTGTGTGTCTGTGTGTATGTGTCTGTGTGTGTCTGTGTGTGTCTGTGTGTATGTGTCTGTGTGTGTGTTTGGGTAAGAACATGAGAGTTGAGGTGTCCACAGGAGCCAGAAGAAGGAGCTGAATCTTCTGGAGCTGGAGTTACAGATAGTTGTGAGCTGCCCTACATGGGTGCTGGGAACTGAACTCAGACCCTCTGCAAGAGCAGTAAGTGCTCCTTCCTAACTGCTGAGCCATCTTTTCAGTCTCCCCCCCAATAAAATCTTTATTAAGGAAAAGAAGATCCCCAGCCCCCGAGTCGGAGTGTTAGCAGCTCATCCTTAATTGGTTATCTTGAAAATTATTGTCCTGCTGAACTTAGAAAATATTAACCCAGGTTGAGATAAAGATGGAAGCAATTATTTATTAATGCTAAATCACAACATAATTACTTGACATTTAAAGAAAAGAGCCAATTGAAATTATGTCAGAGTTCATCTTCTCTTCCAGGTAGTTGGAATGACTCATCCCTCAACCAGTTGATGAATTCAGTTTCTTACAGTAAAAAAAAAAGAAAGGTACAGGCAACTGTAGAATGTGACAAAGAGACAGTTGAGTCCGGCTATTTCTCCCTCCCTCTTACATCAGAATGACTGCATCCCCTGGCTCAGGGCATCCCCTGGGTCAGGCCAACCAAACACACTTTTTTCATCCCTCGGCAGGGAGTCTGTCTAGGAGAAGATTTTGAGTTCCCTGAGGGCAGGATCGAGAAGTTAGCTTTTTCTTGTGATTGCCTGCAGCTCAGTTCAATGGATTGAAAATATGTGTTTTACCTCTTACTCATATTCATTTCAGGTGGGGTTCTTAGGTTCAATGTTTTCTATGATTTTCGCAGATATAAGAGGTGGAATGTGAGGCTAGCATTGCTTTTACCCTTCCTTCCTTCCTTCCTGAAGACAGGGTGGGGTGGTTTGGATGAGAATGGCTCCATAGGCTCATAGATTTGAACGCTTGGTCTCCAGGGTGTGGCACTATTTGAAAGGATCAGGAGGTGTGGCTTTGTTGGAGGAAGTGTGTCACTGGGGATGGGTTCCAAAACCTATTCCAAGTCCAGACAGTCTCTCTTTCTGCTCCTTCTCCAGAACCATGTCTGCCTGTGTGCTACCACACTTTCTGCCACGATGACAGTGGACTAACCTTCTGAAACTGTAAGCCGGCCCCAGTTAAATGCTTTCCTTTATAAGAGTTGCCATGGTCATGTTCAGAACACTGACTGAAACATGGGGTCTCACTACGTAGCTCTTGTTGGCTTGGAATCCACTATGTAGACTGAGCTGGCCTAGAACTCACAGAGATTTGTCTGCCCCTGCTTCTTGAGAGCTGCCATAAACACCACCACATCTGGTTCATTACAGAATTATCCTGTATGTCAGAAGGACGCAACAGGAAGCCAAATGACCTGGCTTGGAGGAGCTTAAAGCAAACTGGGGGGGGGGGGCATGGGAGGGGAGAGAGACAATTCTCAACCAAGCTCTGGGAGCTCCCCTCTCCTCCTCCTGTCTTTCCCACTATGATCAGGCAACCTGAGACTGAACAGGGACAGGAAGAGCCGGCTAGAGCTCCAACTCTGCCTTCAGGTAAGATCTGGTTTTAAAGGAGGCATTTCTGAGTTATGACTATGTCACCCCAAGTTGGGCTGCTCTGAGATATTACTTTGAATTAAAGGCATTAAAAAAAAAATGCAAGATCATCTTGACCTTCATTCTGCCTCCTTAAAACCAGAATTTAAATTTGCCACATGTAAGGTATCATTGTATACCAACAAGAGGAAAGGGTACAGATTGAAAACAAACAAACAAAAACAAAAATTCCTCTCTGCCTCAGGGAGGATATTACCCACCCCCAAACCCTCCTTGTAGTTCAAACAAGAATGGTTAAATGCATGCTTGGCATGGCCGAGTGTTGCATGAATGTCACACAATAGAAATTAATGACTTAAACAGTCCCTGCCTCCTAACTCTAAGGCAAAAAGCTGGTGGTCCAGGGCCTTTCCGTGCAGCAAAGAATTTCAAACAATAAGAATTTATAAAACCCAATCCTTTCAATAATTGAGCTAGAAATTAATGGGAATTAGATTAGCATCAAAGAATTGTTTTATTAAGAGTAAAAAAAAGCATCATACTCTCGCCTCTGTGTGAGAATCTGTTATACATTAGTTGGAGCAACAAGGGTGCAGAAAACGGAGGGCGGTAGGGAAGGGCTTGTGGGATGGAGCAGATGCAGCTCAGGTTTCACAGCAGCTGTACAGGGTAAGCATGTTTAGAGATCTAACTCAGAATGAACACAGAATTCAATACCTCACTGTGCTGGAGACTTTCATTAAAGCCAATTTTTGATGCTCTTGTCCAAAATAAGCGGGGGAGGGGGAAGCTTAATAGATTTATTCATTCACTTCACGATAGTAATCCGTCTATCATCTATCTATCCCGTAGTACCGAGTTTTGAACCTCAGCTACACCTAACAAATTTTATCTTCAAAACAGAAACAAAAAACTCCTCCACCAGAAGGGAGAGGTGGCTCTTGGAGAAGGCAAACCTGTCTTGGTAGACTCAGTTTTGCTCCTGAATAAACAGGATGTCTCAACTGCTCTAACCACTCCTGGAATGTGAAAGGATTTGTAGCCAGCCAGGGTCATTCACATTTCCGTCTTATTCAGAAAGAAGCCTTCAGATTAGAGATGAAAGGAAAGCTGCCGCCAGTCAAAGCAAAGGTACACAAGCCACGGGGCAGTTTTCAGCAGAAATCTTGAGAAAGATTATTCTAGAGAGGAGTTTTGAAAATCAGTTTTACTGTCTCAGATAAACGCTGTTTCTATTCTCGGCCTTGGAGGTAGAAAATGTTCCTTCAAACAGTTTGCTGTCTTTGTCTGGAGAAGTCAATGAGCTTCCAAAGGATGTCTTTGGATGCCATGGTAACCACATGATTCCGGTCAAGTCTATCATGCCTAGGGTACAGTTTAAGGAATTTGAAAATATTACCTGAGAAACTAAGCATTGGGGATGCATGCCACTGGCAGGAATAAACGGGACTTGGGACACACTCACTTCTAGGCTCTTGGGCTTGCAGCACCTGAGAATTACAATGAAATGTGATGTTACCTCAAAGGACTCATGGATGGTGCAAGCCAATTACAAAATACTTAAGAATTGTGGCTGGGGGGGATGTTTCAGGGTTAACAGCACTTGTTATCTTTGAAGAGGAGCCAGGCTTGGTTCCCAGCACCTACATGGTGGCTCACAACCATCTGTAACTCCAGTTGCAGGGGAGCCTACATCCTCCACTGACTTCCGCAGGCACTGAACAAACACGATGCATATACACTCAGGCAAACACACACATCTGCCGGGCAGTGGTGGCTCAGGCCTTTAATCCCAGCACTTGGGAGGCAGAGGTAGGCAGATCTCTGTGAGCTCAAGGCCAGCCTGGTCTACAGAGCAAATGCCAGGAGAGGCTCCAAAGCTACACAGAGAAACCCTGTCTCAAAAAAATAAAAAACAAAACAAAACAAACAAACAAAAAACACATCTAAAATAAACTTAAAAAAAAAAAGCTTTAAACGAATATACTGGGGCTGAAGAGGTGGCTCAGTGGTTAGAAAGCATATACGTTCTTCCACATCCACCCTGGTTAGCTTACAGCTGTCTGTACTCTGGCTCCAGAGGGATTGTCCTTCTCTGATCTGCATAGATACTGCACGTGTGTGTGTGTGTGTGTGTGTGTGTGTGTGTGTGTGTGTGTGTGTGCATGTGTATGCGCGCACATGAACATACGCACATACACACACTAAATACATTAATAAAATCTTCAATTAAAAAATTTAAATACAAGAATATAGAGTATGATATCACAGATATCTAACTTTTTATATTCAGTTTTTGAATTAAATTGTTTTCTCTAGTTTTTCCTGTGACTTTAGGTGTGGAAGTCTCTCAGGAAGCATTGTACAGACATAGTAATGAAACCAGGACATGTAGCTCAAGCTGCTCACTTGGGCCTGCAAACCCTGAGGCGTGAGAGAACACTTGGTCTGTACAAGGGACCAAGCCTCTTGTTTACTGGCGAGACAGAGGCTCAGCTGCCATGGAAACTCCCAAAGCCTCTTGGGATGGAAGCACGTTCTGCCCTTGGAAGTGATGTAGGAAATAGCTCTCGGATGAGGCACTTACTCTTCCCTGTAGTGTGTCTAGTGAGTTAATACCACATAAGATTGCCTCACAAACCACACAGAGGCCCCCATAGCACACACAAACAGCTAAATTATTTTCATGTTTATAAAATAATCTCAATCACTGAAACCGACTGGTTAATTGTCACAAATCCCATGAATGAGGTAAACTGCCATGGCATCTGTCTGATTAATGTGCTAAGAACACCATACCGCACCAGGAGGAGGCATGGAAGAGCCTACTGCCTGACCTTAGTTTAGCTTTAACTGAGGAAGCAAAGCCAGACACATGGGAAATACATCCTGCAATGTATGATGTCCCGAGTAAGCATTCCATCAAACAATGGCCACTGTGAGGAGTGGCATGTCCATGAAAGGGTGCCTATATGGGTGCCCCTGATGGAGGCATTCCCTTAACCCAGCAACAGACCTCCTCAGATCTGGGTGTGGACCACTGTCCTGGCAGCAGATTTTTGCCACAGGCTGCCAACCTCATACCAGATTGGCAGGAACAAACCCGATGTCGCCTGATTTGGCTACAGATGTAATAACATCTGACAAGAGGCTGATTGGGCAGCACACGATGCTATTTCCTCTAATTAAGGAACTCTCGAGAAAAGCCCAAAATAGCCACAAAGCACTGTCAGCAAAGCAATCAGCGGTGACAATTATCTGTCAACTTAAACTCCTGGGTGAGCCTTGGTGAGGAGCTGGACTCGTTGCTAGAAATGTGCAATCAGCCTGGAAGCAGAAGTCAGGGGTAACAAGGACACAAAGCAGAGGCCAAAGCCTGCTGCTCATCAGTGGCAAGCTCTCCCCAGGGGAGGGGAGTAGTAGTTTGCTGGCTAGAGGAGCTGCTGCCCAGTCTAAGGGTCTGTGTGTGTGTGTGTGTGTGTGTGTGTGTGTGTGTGTGTGTGTGTGTGGGTGGGTGGGTGGGTGGGTGGGTGAGTGCGTGTTAGAAGGCTTTGTAAAATAATCAAATGAAGTAGCTTGAAGTTCACCAGCCATGACCTGGGGTGTTGCCACATCCCGAATCACTCTATCCTTTACCTGGAGCCATGCTACCCATTCTTTGACATCTACAAGCAGAACATGGCCACTCTTTACATGGATACCAAAGTTTACCATACATGCATTCTCCCTCCATTGCTTCCATAACCAACTGCCATTTATACTATGAGGTTATCAGGAGCAAGAGTTGGGGAGCTTATATAAAGCAAGAAATATGGTCCAGAGTGGCAGTTTGAAGGAGAATGTCCCCTGTGGTGGTTTCAAAGAAAATGGCCCCCAAAGGAGGTATGGCCTTGGAGGAAGCGTGTCACTGTGGGGGCAGGCTTTGAGGTCTCTTTTCTCAAGCATCCCTCAGTGTGACAGCCAGTTTATTTCCTGTTGCCTGCAAGATGTAGGACTCTCAGCTCCAGCACCACATCTGACAGCATGCCACCACGCTCCCTGTCATGATAATGAACTGAACCTCTGAAACTGCAAATGAGCCACTGCAATGAAATGTGTTCTTTATAAGAGTTGCCATGGTCAAGGTGTCTCTTCACAGCAATGAAAACCCTAAGACACCCAATCATCATAATACATAATGATACATAATAATCAAATTGTACCTGTACGTACAGAGAGACGAGGAGACTTTTTTTACATTTGGTAGATAGAGATAGATAGAGATATAAAATGGCTATTATTAGGAGGTACATCATCTCTCCTTCCTAACATTTCTGCCTAGACACAGAACTAAACAATGTATGTCTCTTAAAACTCTCTTTCCATTCAATGAATTCTTTCATTTCTCAAGGAAGCAACTTGTAGACTTGTGTCCAGACTGCACACTGGTAAGTTCATGCAAGTCTGGGCAATCAATCCTTTCTTTCCTCTGTTTCTGGTCTCAGTCACCTGTAGTTTTTTTGTTTTGTTTTGTTTTGTTTTGTTTTGTTTTGTTTTTTTCAATGAAAGGTCTCAGGAGGAATGATGATAGAGGGGTTGATCATACCTGGACCTCCACACAACTAAAACCCAGCACCACTTCTTGTAAAGCTAACATGTGGCCCCTGTTGATCTATCTGGCTCCAGTTCCACGTCAATAGCGAACCCAGACCTGATCACCTTTGCAGTAAGAATATACTTAAAGCCTGAAGTTATCAGCCTCTCCTGCAGCCAAGAGTGACCACTGAGACTAAGCACAGTCCATTGGTCCATGCAGTTAGCACAAGCTTTACCTGAGCTAACTCGGCTATGAAGAAGTGTGGTCTGCAGCTTCCCTGGCTACTTGCTCAGAATAGGTATGATGGTGTCAAGTTGAACGCAGTACATTATACTAACTCAATGATAGTTACCAGAACACTTTGACTGCAAGTCTGACTGAGGGGCATGGATATGGAAACCTTAGAATCCTGGCACACAGAAAAAGACAATAGGAATCCCAGCACACAGAGAAGGACAAGAGAAACCCCAGGATACAGAGAAGGACAAGAGGGAAATAGATACTATGGACACCAGCTCCCCTTGTTCTTTTCTGCCATGAGAGGAAAGGGGAAAACATATAAAATAGGAAATGGAGGTAACAACAAATTTGACCTTTATTGGAAGTTAAGAAAATAGTGTGAGCATGCACCTATCATTACATAACAAGACGTTCAAGGTCAGGAAGACCAGAGAGCTGGGCACCCTTTTTAAGAGTTAAAGCCTCATAGAGAAATTGGCTTCTTGACTAAGGTGGAGAAAAAGGCAGAACTTCTCTTAGGAGGAGAGAGGCACATGTGTCTTTATCTATTTGTGCTACTATTGTAACACAATACCATAGATGTAGTAGGTCATAAAAACAGACCAAACAAAACACAAGCTTTTCTCACAGATGAGTGTAGAGGCATAAGTGTTTAATCCCAGCACTTGGGAAACAGAGGTAGGAGGATCTCAGTAAGCTCCAGGCCATCCAGGGCTACATTGTGAGATTCTGCCTCAGAACTAACAATAGGCATTTCTCACAGCTCTAAGGGATAAAAATTCCAAGACAAAGTACTATCAGATTGGGTGTGTGATGGCTCAGAAACAGTCAACGACAGATTCCATCGGCTTCCTTTTCCAGGGCACTAAAGTCATCTGTGAGGACTTTGCTATGCTCTAGTCACATCCCAAGAGTCCCATCTCTAAATCCCTTTTGCGACTGGATGTCAACACATGCATGGGGGGTGGGGGGGAACACCACAGTCAGACCACAGCAGGGGGCTCACCCACAATCACTTAGAAGAGGGAGCCCCAGAAACATTATTGTTAGAAGAAAGAGCTGAGCTTCTGAGAGCTAGGACAAAGTTCAAAGAACTGTGGCAAATAAAGCTCCAGACATGTAGACCAGTGATAATTGTTCTGTTAAATTGAGTAATCTTACTATGAAACACATTTAAATGTTTTAATTCTGTGCCTTATACCCCGGGGTATCCTCAAGTAGAGTTGCCTTCACAATATTTTGATATGAAGGATTTTAATCTTATTAGTAGAAGTGCATGCAACTCTAAAAAATAGAAATAGTGATTATGTAAAATACTGCTTCTCAAACATTCAAGTGCCTAAGAATACTCTCATTAGTCTTTTGAAATGAGGAAATGACTCATTAGATCTGAGGTAGGCTCTGCAATGCTGTACCTCCTTTCTAAAGTTCCGTGTTGCCATACCCTTCCCCACATTGAGGCCTGAGCCCAGGTCCCTGTGCTTGCTGGCAAATGCCCTACTACTGGCCTACATTCACCCCGGCCCACACTTCTGTATGTGTAATAAGCTTTCAGGGGACGCTGTTTGGGTGACCCCACAATGGCTACTGGAGCTACTGGAGTGAACTGAGATGAGCATGGCGCAGTAGTGGCCCACGCCTATAATCCCAGCTCTGGGG